TATGATTGCTACACAGACATATACCGTGAAGAATTTGTCTCCAGGATTTTATGTTGAAAACATAGGAACCGCAAACATAGATCGAGGCATGTTTCGTATAGAGACGGTATATAAGAAAGAGCGACTGAATGAGGATTACATTAGGATAGAAAGTGCATTATCCAAGTTTAAGCAACTTTGTGACAAGGCGGACGTTGCAACGACGGATACACATTGTAATCAATTTTATCATCATTTACTGGAGCAAAAGACAAAATATGAACGCATCAAAGAATATTTTACAGAGTTTCATGAAACGCGAAGGAGAAGGGGTTTGCTGGGGAATTTTTTAACCTCAGTGTTTGGTGTAAATGACGAGATATACAGAGACATAGATTCGTTAAACTCAAACCAACAAAAATTGATTGAAGCATCTAGTCACCAAACTAAAATCATGATATCGGCTATTTCCCAAGTAAATGGTACTGAAGAAAGAATAAGACATAAACTAGAAGGATTTCAAACAAAACTGTCACAAGTAATAGAGCGCATAAATAGCTATGACTATTGGTACATTAAAACTAATCACAATGATATAAAGATTCAGATTTTGCAAACGTTCCAAGTAGCCAATAATTACATTGACGAAATTTTAAACTACTACAATGGGTTATTAGAAGTATACTTAACAAAGGCTAGCGTGTATAGTGTCTTGCCACCCAAAAATGTTAGTGAATTAATATTTTCCGCAAATAGGAAGATGCCATCCAACATTAGAATAGTCCAAGAACTATTATTAGATACAAGGATAGTCGAGAATATGACTCATATACAAGTACACGCTTATTTTCCAATTAAAGATATTACAAAGTATACTTTAATTCATGTTACACCAGTACCTAAGAAGAATATGAACAATACGTTCGAAAGCATAGAAGTATCGAGAGCATTTTTAGCAATTGATTACAATAATGAATTATACTTCGAACTGGACCACGAAGAATTCAAAGAGTGTATACAAAGGCACGAACAGTTTCTTTGCTTCCCTGGAGTGGTGAAAAACATGCAATTAAATGAAAATTGCATCGTTGACCAATTATTCAAAAATCAAACTAACACTAAATGTCCTACCCATATCTTTGAAATGTCAAGTAATATAATTTGGAAACAGCTATGCATGCAAAACTCATGGTTGTTTATAACAAAAACTAGTAGCACTATATCCATAGTTTGTGATAGTAAGCGAGAAGAAATAACCATTCAAGACGTAGGAGTAATAAAAATCGCTGACAATTGTATCATAAAATCCGTTAACAACAGACTCGCTGCTAAGAGAACGTTATCAATTCAGGTAGCAGAGTCCTTTTCAAAACAACTAAATTTTAGTATATACATATATATATCAAATCGAAGTAAAAAACTAAATATATCTAAGGAGGCTGTAATAGAAAGTTCCAATGACTTTTATCAGCACTTAATAAATGAAGAGTCTGGATTGGAAATAGAACTTAACGATAACATATGGAAGGACATTCAATCTCACACATACTTAGTGAGCTGCGTATCATCAATAATATTGATGACAATTATAATTATAGTTGTTTGTTATGGTCCCAGGATAGTTACGTGTACGAAAACAGGAACACATCGACTTCGACAACACCCTAAATCATCAAAAGCTGATCCGCCACACCCACAACGTGCACCAGATCAAGGCAACAACCAGCCATCTACATGGAACGCCATCTACAGCCAGCCGAACCAACTACTGAAGCCTCCCAGGAAGCAGCCGGAGAACCAGGACGCAGCCAAGGATGACTCCATAGAACTATATCAAATGGAGTTGCCTGTTCCTCGGAGAGGGCAGAATGTTCACACATGAACGTGCCATTTCAGCGAGATAATCCTACGTGATTAAAATAAGGAAAACATATTACTTATTAAATATATAAAACTAATAAAACATCACGTAATCACGTAAGGTATATAGCACTGAGATGGTACATTACACGCATAGCACACAATCATAATGTGGTATGTGTGTACATAGGATAAGTTTAGTATATAAGATCATGTAGATTAAGCAATAAAGCAGTCATTAAGTTGATTCCGACTTTGACTCACTACCCTTCCTCCACCTCTCACTGTGGCCAAGACACCTTTAGCCATCAACCGATCTGTCGTGTGAGTCTGCTCGACAGGCAGTGAGAAAACCATCACCACCATACCCCATTCCTACCCACATTCCGTCTGCCATCATAGGTCTCAGTTGGCAGATATCCTGCACCTATCTATATAAGTATATATAAATACGTATAGTAGGGCTAGGGTCTAGGGACTGTAGGGCTAGGGCATTAGGCGCGTACGAAGAGTAGGTCTGTATCACAGCATACCACAGTGTACCACTATAGTACGTGCCTTAGGTTAAGGGCTTGGTAGTAGGTGCGTAGAAGTGCTGGTCTGTATCACAGTATACCACAGAGTACCAAGCCTATACGCATTGTACGCTAGGCAAATATAGGATAGAACTTAGACTACATAGGTTATTGGGCTTAGGGGATCCAGGATAGGATATTGTAAGTGTTAGATTATCTAGGATAGTGTAGGATAACGTTAGCTAGTAGTACTTAGGATTAGGTATTTAGTCCTGTACAGCGCGATCTTAGCGTAAGGCTATTATCACGCTGTACAACGTGGTTTGGGGCCACACAGTTACATATGTTAGGTAACGAAGTGTAAAACAGGCGATTTTTGTTTGTAAAATGTACTTTTTATTGAGTACTAAGTACTACCAATAAGAATATAACAACTACTACTGATTATTTGTCAGATTTTCGTTTCAATAAGATGTGAAATTGATATATGTATGTATTAATTATAATTGTTACTACAGCAACAACTACCTAATACCTATTTAATTGCAATAAATATTTGACAGCAGGAGTCTTGCGCCATGTTTTTTTATTTTTAAATAAAACGCTACTCCACATCCGCACCCACGACACAGGAGAAAATCCTATGTTCTCCTGTATCGTGGGTGCACTTACAAACATACAATTTTATATGCACATCACATCCAGACTCGGAACAACGATTTGTAGATCACACAAAAAGTGGTTTCGTGAGGGAATCTAACCCGCGACACGTTGCGCGGTAGCTAGTTGCCCAGCCACCGCGCCAAACGGTGTCTTAATTCGTGGCGGAATCTATTCCTGTAGGCAGCAGTTGTTCGTGTAGGGTAGACTGGGTACGGTTGAAACAATTTGGCATATTTGGTTTATAATTTTGTCATTTATTAACCAAATGATCATTATGATACATGAAATTCAAATATGAAGTTTTAGCTACGATATGGCAGTGTCATTATGGTTCTCAAATTACTATTTTTGGAAATATGCGAAATTAAAAAATATTTATATTTTGTTTCAACCGTCCCCGTGCCAGGGGCGGTTGAAACAGCGATTGGGGTCAATTGAAACACATACAAATAAAACAATAAATACTAATGAAATATGTTTTATTTGTAATTAATACTAATTATATTAATAATTATTACAACATTGATCAGTATTCAAGATTTTAATTCTTCAAAAACCTTTATCAGCCTTTGACTAATACCTAGTAAAGATTTAGAGTAATTACAAAAACGGTAGTATCAGAACAAAGGTATTAGAATAAACTTTAAAAACAAATAGACTATGAAAATAAACTAATTAAGAGACATTTCTAAAATTAATAAAATAACCATTGTGAATAAACTATACGAAAATATTTTAAAATCAAATAAACTAATAAAGAAATCCCTGTTTAGATCAAATAGACATGGAGAATTAACTTAGACAAAACATTTAGCTTAGGCATTATTCGGAGTATTCAGAGTCGGAATTATAACAAACGTAGCTAAGACCACATTCTGTGCATTCTTCATGTGCCCACTGTTTACACGAAGTACATTGAATTCACTTCTCTCCAGATCTGCTCTCTGAATATGGTGCTGGAGTGTCAGACTCTTACTGACTAAAAACCCCCCCGTTCCTTCTCCTGCTCTGGGCCGAGTTCGCGGTGCCTCATTGCGCTTACCCCGCAACCCCGGTTTGAATATGGTGCTTCTTAGCATACAATACAGTATCATTCTTCCTCTTATGATGCTTCCGATGACAATTTCTGCTCAGTAGGTATTTTTCCTTTCGTTTTTAAATTTCTTTCTTACTGCGTCCTATCTTAGATAGTCCGAAATATATATATCAGCACATCGCATCAAACATGATAATTCTCGCTCCTGATCTTCATTAAAAACACGATTGTGTGCTTTACAGCCCATATCGTCACCACCGGTCGCATATCGCTTTCGAATGTATCAGGGAACATTGGTGTATACCATGCTTTTCCGCCGCTTTCCGAAAGGTTTCTCCAGCTTTTACCTCCTCATATGCATTACTGTAACTTCATAAGTCAATGTTCCCTCTGGAAGTCTTCCTCAACCGAACTCTCGGCATCTACAAAAAAAACATAAATATATTTTCTGTTTCAACCGTACCCACAAAAAATGTTTCAACCGTCCCCAACCCCACTTTACGTATAATATACTTTATATTTACGACAGTAATCATAATATATTATAAATAGTCACTATTCCTTATTCTACAAGCATCGTAATAATCGCAAACACACACCTTATAACATTCACTTAAAAATAACAGATAATAAAAGCGTTAATGTCAGAAGAAAAATACTTACTTTTGTGTAATAAAAATTAATATGGCGTCACTGTATTCGGGTTCGGACCTGTCGTCCGCTTATTCTTCCCCTTACACCCCATATTCCCCGCGTAACCATTTACGAGATATTTACTCTGTTTCAACCGTCCTTTGTTTCAATCGTACCCAGTCTACCCTAACCAACAAATAATCTGTAAACCACGAACGACGAAACGACGTAAGCAGACAAAACAAAATGTTATTTTGGCAACGAGACGGCTCAACGTCGATACTGTTCCGAGCTGTGTGTGTGTTGCATCGTACCGGGCGGCGCGCCATGCGCTCGTAGCGGTCGGCGCGCAGCGAGTCGAGCGACACGTTGAGCGCGGACAGGCCGGCGCGCTGCAGCGCGGGCAGGCGCCGCGTCAGCACCAGCCCGTTCGTGGTCATGGCCACGGCGCGCACGCCCGCCTCCTCGCGCAGCCCGCCTGCAACACACGGCCCGTCAGTCCGCGCCCGCGCCCTGGCGAGGGACCGGGGTTGTTGCGCTCACGTATGATGTCGGCGAGGTCCTTGCGCAGCGTCGGCTCTCCGCCGGTGAGGCGCACCTTGTCCACGCCGGCCGCCACGAACACGCGCGCCAGCCGCACCAGCTCCTCGCGCGACAGCAGCGCGCTGCGCGGAGACAGCGGCACGCCCTCCGCCGGCATGCAGTACTGGCCTGCAACGACACCCGTCACACTGTTATATAACTTCTGGCTACACCCGCCCGCTCTCCCTCCGCTACTCGGCTCCTCCATATTGTAGCGTCATGTTTAATAGCCTGTAGCTTCAGCTATATAGTCACTACATAGCATACATAATACAAACTCGCTTGTTCTGTCCCTACGCTTAAATCTTTAAAAATACGCTGATATTTTTGATACAGTTCTTTAATAAGTAGAGTGAGTGAGGAGGAAGGTTTATATAATATCCATTAAATAGTGAAGACATTTGCACCCGTACCACGCACGGGTTCATGTGCCATTCTTAAAGCCGAGCGGGTCGCAGGTAGCCTATAATAGCATTCGATAAATGGACTATTATACACAAAAAATATTGTCCAGTTTGAGCCAGTACTTCAGTAGAACTCGCTTCCCACCTCGCGCACCACCTGTGAAATATCTCTTTCTCTAAATGTTGTAAGTACAACCTTTACTTTATTAAAAAAGAAAACACGGGGTGGTTCTAATGTCGAAAAGCCATGAGCTAAATAACAAGTCTTCATTGTCTGTAACAAACCAACAATGACTCTTTAAGAACACACCAAGTTGCTCCAACTTACATAAAGAAGCCAGCACATATACGGACAATCACAGATAAGGAAGTAAAGACAGAAAAGCCTAACAAAGCCCCGGATTACGAGTGGCTCAATAGGAGCCACGGCGCCCTTAGCTTCCGGCTGACGCAAGTGCTTACCGGACACGGGTGTTTCGGGAAGTACCTGTGTCGCATAGGTCGGGAGCAGACGTCTCAGTGCCGCCATCGTGGTGATTGTCGCGACGATACGGCTCTGCATACCTTGGTGGAGTGCCCAGCTTGGGCCGAGCAGCGCCGTGACCTGGTCGCGGCCGTAGGTGCTGCGGGAAATCGTCTACTATGGTCGGGAGCGAGTCAGGGTGGAGTGCCGTCGCTACTTTCTGCGAAGCCGTGATGCTCGCAAAAGAGGCAGCGGAAAGGAAGAGAGAGGCTACCTCCTCTCTCCCCTCCCGCAGCAGACGCACTAGACGTCGTAAGGTGGCCGACCTATGGCCACCGTAGGGGGCGGCCTGCGGACGACAGACTCGGGGCGTTCTTGTCGTCCAACCAGCAGCAGGCCTCGAGGCGGCGCCGTGTTCCGCGCGCGCCTCATAGCGGAGTCCTGCGGTCGGGGTGACGGCCGCAGTGGGTGACGGGACTCGCCTTACCATCTGGCGGGCAGCTTCGGTAGGTTCCTGTTCCGGATCCAGCGGGAGAAAACGCCCGAGTGTCGTCATTGTGAGGACCACCTAGAGGATACGGTGGAGCGTACGGTAGCGGTATGCCCTGCCTGGGCTGAGCATCCCCGTGTTATCAGGGAAGTGATCGGCGGCGGCGACCTCTCGCGCCCGACCTTAGTCGAGGCCATGGTGCGGAGTGAGAAATTGGACGCCGTCTCCTCCTTCTGTTGCAGTCATGCTCGCAAAGAGAGAGGCGGCCCGCGTGAGGGAGCAATCCTCCTCCTCACGCCCTAGCCGCCGCAACATGCGACACTACGGGCGTCGGGGATCAAGGGACGATCTCCGGCCACCACGGAACCAGGCCCAGGAGCGTACGCCAATAGACCCTCAAAGAGCCAATAGACCAACACAGACGGGGCATTAAAGAGCTGATGTTCAGCCGGGGTTGCGGGGTAAGGCACCGCGACCTCGACCCAGAGCAGGAGAAGGAACAGGGGGGTTTTTAGTCAGTAAGAGTCTGACACTCCCTCCCGCCCTGCACTGGGCGGGAGAAGTCATATGATGATTTTCCCCTTACAAAAAAAAAGAAAAAAAAACCATCTGGCGGGCCAACACCCGTCGGGGGGTTGCGACAAATCCTTCGGCGATACCCGCCCCTCCTACACATGGGTAAGTGGAGGAACATTGTTGGTTGGTTTTTAGTCAGTAAGAGTCTGACAGTACCCTTCGCCCTTCCCCGAGAGCGATGGGTCTCCATGAGGATTTTCCAACCGGACACCCAAAAAAAAAACGCCCCGGTTTACGACCTAATCTAAAGAAACTTCCAAAGGAAGCCATTCATTTCTAACGTTCTACAAGTATATGATACAAAAAGGCAATTATCTACCCCAATGAAAAGAATGTTAAGTTATCATGGATGCTAAATCTCGGAGGAATCCAATTGAGACCCAATTATATCGACCATAGTCTGCTTCCAATACCGTCAGTTACCGGTAAACAATAGTAAACCTACATAGATTATAGTGGTCCACATTAACGAAGATTTCGAGCTTAAATTGTATTGTACCTACACTACACTTTTGGAACATATCTTAATGAATTGACCGCGTGCCGTATAAAAAATATAATAATCCTGCCGATTAATTTATATAGTCTTGTAGTGATAATTGATAGGTCACATAAATGATATTATAAGAATACAGAAGTTAATCAGCACGAGTTTTTGTGTCATACAAGGAAGAAACAAGATCTCAAGGGCATTTGGGCGGGGGTTTCACAGGGTAGAGTACTTGGTCCAACATTTTACCGCCGACCCTTCATTGGACGGTTGGATGACTGGCACAAGAAATTGTACAAACTAGTCTTGAAATACATAGAGTAAGAGCAAACAAAATCAGATATAACCTTCACGATTGAAACCGGGACCTATCCACCTTTTAGGTAGGTATTCTAAACGACGTACAACTTCCGCAACATGATCACGCCAAGGAATAGATCAATGCATCAAATCCCTCGCAACATCTTTTAGCTCATGAACAGAAATGGACATGCAATAATTCAATGATTCCAATCTAAAATGCCAGTTATAACAATCCACACTGGTTTGTTTCGAATAAACAACTCACTGCGCCTCATTGAGCTTAACCCGCAACCCTGGCTGAACATCAGCCCTATAGAGGCCCGTCTGTGGTGGTCTATTGGTTATTTGAGGCGCGCGCGGAACGCTACGCCCCGTACTCAGACCTTCTTACGTACGTACATCTTACGGTGGCCGGAGATACCCCCCTCCCCTGCGGTTTCGCCGTGCGACACAAGACATATCGGCTGGCAGCCATCATTCTTTTTAATACCAATTACAATATTTTAAATTCGAAATATATTTTAAATGAACTATCTAATTGGAATAAAATTAAAGGTAAGTAATTTATAGCTATTGAAACAATCTTGCTTAATAAATAGTTTATTTGGATAAGTAATAAAATAATTTTAATTAAGTACTTTTATTCTATGGAATAGTGGTTATAACGGCTAAAATATATAATTTTGTTATAATAGTAGCAAAAGAAATCTATCATTTGTTATCTAAATTTCAACTACAGTTCAGATAGACAGACAGACCAACATTCCGACGACACGGACGGACGGTCAACACAGTATTAGTTAGAGTTTCCGTATTTACTCTTTACATATACCACAGATACAAATGTACATGCATACATATTCAATACAACAATACAAAATTGTGCAAATAGTAATGAAACTTTCCCACTAGTAACTACATATGTTTTAGCTTCATACACACAATATATCAAGGACTCCATTACAATAAATATAATGCGAGCAAACATATTTCAATTAGGTAAACAGAATAATTTTATTTAAGTACTTGCAGATGTGGATCCATGTGTGTGAAACAAATTCGAAAGTGCTGATTCACTGAAGCGTTACATTGTCTGACCTTGTGAGTGTATCAATAGTATATTACCTGTGTAACTGTGTAGGAGGTAGGTACCCAGTGCATGTGCCGCCGACACATATGCACACATACGCATGCTTTACGTAGCTCACGACTAACACTTAGGTACCGAGGGTGTTGCCAAACGGGACAAACTTGATTAACATGCTGCCGATTGTGCAGTTTGTGTTAGGTTTAAAGTGAATAACATTTGGGATGGCAAATAATTAAGAATTTAAAATGCTTCTACAGATCAGTTTGCTAGTTATCAATCGTCAACCAAGGCATTATTACAGATCAGTTTCTATAAGTTTGTAAACATAAATAGTTGAAAACAAATAACCTTGGTTTATAGAAATAGATGAATAATGCCATCTTTGAACAGAACATCTGTCAGCATAGCTTCATAGCTTCCTATTGACTGAGATAATACAAAGTTTGCAGTGAACCATTTTCTCTCAGAATTATTTCTTTAGCTATGTTTTATTAATCTTAGAAGTGTATTTCTTTTAATATTTATATTTTCCCTCCACATTCCTCCCTTGGATAAAATACGAATCAATCGAAAAAATCTCAAGTGATGGACACATGGTAATACCTACACAGAAGTATAAAGTTTAGCCCAACTTTAACAAATAATACTTTGTGTTAAAACAAGAAAATAATGCTAAATAAAGGACCCTTTTAGCATTATACATTCATTCTTCTCTTTACTTGTGGGAGAGCCAAGCTTCGGCAAGAATGGGTCGGCTCGACCGGCTTGATACCACGGCCTCACAGAAAACCGGCGTGAAACAACCACAGCGTTGTGTTTGTCGTGTGAGTGACGTTGCCGGAGGCCCAATTCCTCCCCCTCCCTCCACCCCTTCCCAATCTTTAAATATCTAAACCCTTATCTCTAAAAGGTCAGCAACACACTCGTAACTTCTTTGGAGTTGCGGGTGTCCATGGGCAGCACTAATTGCTTACCATCAGGTAATCCATCTGCTCATTTGCAGACCTATACAATAAAAAAACGAGTTTAAGATATTCAATGACCACTGAGTGTTTTTTTTTTTAAAAAAACTTTGCCCCAAATTAGGATTTTCTCTTGTTTCGTGGGTGCGGTTACAAACATACAATTTCACATACACATGACACCCAGACCCGGAACAACAATTTGTGGATCACACGAAGAGTTGTTCCGTGCGGGAATCGAACCCGCGACACGTTGTACGGCAGCCAGTTACCCAGCCACCGCACCAACCGTGCATCCAATGAGCATGGTGTTTATTGTCCAGAAATTACACCCTAAACACCATAGCTGATATCAAAATTTTCATTTAGTCTTAAATTTATACTAAATGAAAATACTTATATTGATCATTGTAGTGTTAATTTTCTATACTTATTTTTTTTCTAGACTGATATGGTTTTTTTTAATAATGAACCTATTATATAATAGTATTATTTACAATAACAAAGGGAACATTTAGTAAAAGCAATTTTTATTTTTAATATAATTATTATGTAGGTAGTTAGTACCTGAAAAATGATCTGAAAAAAGGTACTAACTTAATAAATAAATATTTCAAGTCAAATTACAATATCTAAATATATAATACTCAAAGGTGGCTGATATAGTGATCCATCAACACACAGCCCAAACCACTGGACGGATCAGACTGAAATTTGGCATGCAGGTAGATGTCATGACGTAGGCATCCGCTAAGAAAGGATTTTGATTAATTTTATCCCAAAGGGGATAAAAAAGGAGATGAAAGTTTGTATGAAACTTTGTCAGTTTTAAACCGATCGGGCTGAGACCTTGCATGCATAAAGCTACTATAACACCTACGTTATGTGTACCTATACCTAATTAATAATAATATTTTTTAACGTGAGCGAAGCCGCAGGCAAAAGCTTGTATACTTCTATAAGCTTTCTTTCCTGAGTGGTCTAACACCACTCAAGAAAATCAAATTTGAAGAATTCTGTCACCTACCGCAAAAATTTGAAGCACAACAAAGTGATATTTAATTTTGGAATAATTCTGTTAGCAAAATGTTAATTAGCAAAGTAACTTACATCTTAAATTACAGCGTTCGGTTAAGGAAATACGAAGATAATTGTGACGTCGACCAAAAGAATCCACTAGAGATGTGTCAACGGGCTGCGCCGGCGCCGGCGCCACTTCTGCGGTGCCAGTCCCCTGACATTATTGGATAACATTAGCCAACAAGTAGCTTGTAAGATAACATAACTTTAAAAAAGTGCATGTAAACTTACATTTGCAAAAGATCTATGTAAATCATTTAAAGATCGAGATCGTGCTCCTGGTGCTAGAAACGATATTTCAGAACTGCTTATTCGATTTAGTGAAACTATTTTCTTTAAATTAACTCTCATCATTATACTTGTCACGACCACTAAGGCACTGTAATCCTCTCAAAGTACAAACAACAACTAAAAAAAAATATTTCGATCACTGAATAAATATTGTGATGTTTTTGTTATAATAGTGCTAAGTCTAAATACGAGGTTTTTGAGTACACCTGGGATTACAACATAAATGTTTGATATTGCTACGTAGAATAAATTAGTTTTGGTTATAAATCTATACTTATAATAAATCTGTAGAGAGGTCAATTCTGTACAGGAAATATATTTTCAAAATAACTACCAGGGGGTGATAAGTGATCTATACTGATGCCAAAAATGCAATCAGTAAAATTTTTGTCTGTCTGTCTGTCTGTATGTTCCTTATAGAAACAAAAACTACTCGACGGATTTTAACAAAACTTGGTACAATTTTATTCTTTATACTCTTTGGTAGGTTATAGGATACTTTTAATCACGCTGCAATTAATAGGAGCAGAACAGTGAAGGGAAAAAGGGAAATGTTGGAAAAACCGGAGAAGTTACTTCCTTTTTAAGTTTCCGTCGCGTGTATAGCCTTAATGGTTAAAGTTATATAGAAACTATGTATAACGGAAATATTCTACATAAAATTATCTAAAAAAATTGTTTTACATTATAAATATATCTATCTTTTATGGTTAACTCACAATAGCTCGTGTGTCGTAGTATTTTAATTTCAGCAATAGTGTCTCATGCTTAACGCAGTCAATAGCCTTCAAAAGATCATTTTGATCACATACTCGGTTTTTTTCCCGAGGTGTAAACTTGCTTAGTGATATCTCTTTTTTTTTACTCTTAACTTTTTTAGTTTTTCATCTCTCATATGACCCCATCATACCCTTTTACAAAATTAAAAAGTGATATCTCCTGCATGAGTAGTGCATTTTCCATTAATTGAGACAAGGCTTCACCATTTTAAGATTATGTTTAGTCTGCTACTCTTTATACGTTTGTGACTACAATTATTTCCTTCATGTTAACTTGTAGAAAAAGTTATGACAGACTAAACTGACACTGACACTGACGCCGACAGTGACACTGGCGGATAAAATTGGCTGTGTTTTTTTTAAGTACCTGCCTACTACAATACAATTTATTCGCAGCACAGAGACAGAGTACATATATTCGCAGCATTGTTTACTCATTTACTGTCTAGTGTCTTATGATAAATATACTTTTGGAACATACGTACGTGAGCTGTGGATTAGTGTGGATGAAAAGAAAATTGTGTCATATATCAATAAATAAAGTTTATTAAATCCCAAAATAAGGATCTAACTAAATCTATGTCCCAATTTTGCTTCAATAACAAAAACAAATAAGTGAAAAACTATCAGGAGATTTGAAAATGTCATTGTTTCCAGCTTATGGTAATGAATCTTCTGAAAAAATAGTCCAACAGGAAGGTAAATGTTTACCCTAAAATATAAAAACTGAAGGTTTATACGTAGGTACTTTACATATACAGTGTCGGTCGAACCCGGTACTTATAAATTTTGTATTAAAGTATAATACAACAGTCGTGTCTTATTAAGAAATTTACCAAATTATTTGATACCTCATATTATCACAGGGATAAAACTGAATTTGGCAAATAAATACTAACATACATACATAACATATGATAATCATTAAACAATATCACAGGCAGCCAGATAATGTTTCACCTACTACCATATATAGTATAATATATTATGATCTTTGGAAGAAAATTTGAGTAGTTAGTTTCAACTTACATAACAGGCATAGCTATTGATCTGACAAACAAACCAACCAATTGGACAATACTTGTAGTTTTCAAATCATCGGGATCACATGGTTGTTACTAATAGTTTCAATGTATCTATTTTTATATTTGAAGTGTATAGTTAGAGGTTACTTCTACTTACAATATAGGTAACTTGGCAAGTCTGAATATATTGTGTACAAGTGATAATATATATTTACCTTATGTTACAATACACCCTTTATCCATCAATATTGTAATCTCAAAGTTTTAGAATTACTTAATTGATTTTTATTTATATAAATTAAGTTGTTAAGTTTAATAGTATTCTAAGTAAAATCTACTAAACACCCACCAAGATAATATTATAATCTTGTTTAGTAGACATATTATGTTGGCCATATTGGACCTTCTTCAGTAAGAGTCAATGTATATTGATTGTAAATAATGAATTGATTAATGTCTAAAGTATGGCTACTCCTATTTTGTTGCAGAGCATAGTAATGAATCATTGGCCCTAGAGGCACAATTACTTGCAAGTGACAATGATGAGGAGCATGAAGGTAGCTCTCACACTGAACCCACAGCTCCGTGTCAGAGCCTCCAACCACCAGAATGTGATTATTATATTGACTGCAAATTAGATGTTGGTAATTTGCGAGTCTCTACTTTATACTACCCGGGAAGACCACAGTTAGTAAATTATACTTTTTTTTTTAAATATTCAAAGTAAATAAGTATTCATATTATTAATTTTGCTGTGCAGGTATAGCACGCTATCATCGCGGGATGCGCTTGGTTGCCCGGGCGCCGGCGCCGCGGCCGGGCGACGCCGAATACGGCGCTACTACAGCGCGGGCGCCAGCTCGGCTGACGCATCGCCTGATGCGGAGCTCGCGCAGCGGACACGTGCCTTCCGCGACATGCTCGCGGACAACCCCACGGATGAGTCGTTGTGGCTACGATTTATCGAGTTTCAGGTAGGTAGCGAGCCAGCCGGTACCGTCGTTCGGTCGGCGCAGTGGCTCGGCAATTACATGGTGCGATGATGCCTGCAGGAAGTGTCGCGGGGCGCGGAGGCGGCGCTGTCGGCGGCGGAGGAGGCGGCGGCGAGCGCGGGCGGCGCGGCCTGCGCGGCCAGCGCGCGCCTGCGGGCGGCGCTGCATCGCGTGCGCTCGCTGGCGCTGTCGCCGCTGCGCCGCCTGGACCTACTGCGCCGCGACCTGGCACTCGCAGGTCTCTCACTCACATTGAGTTGATCCACTGTCCTACTAGCCCTCTTTTTTGTGTGAGGCAAAAATCATCAAATGACTTCTCAATGGAGTGTCAGACTAACCGCGACCCTATCCACGTCCATTTCATATTTCATTTATCGTCTCTATGAAGCAAAAGCCGCGCGGTAGCAAACTGTACGTCTTTTTGTTTGGTCCTTCCAGCAACAGTAATGCGTGAACTGGGGATTTATGTCTCACTAAATAAAGTCGTATAACTTTGCACAGTTACACAACTCACACACACACACACACACACACAGTAGTATACAGTAACAGTTGCACACGTAGTTGACCCCCCTCCTGTCCCTGCTCTAGGCCGAGACCGCGGTACCTTATTGTACTTTCTCCGTGATCCCGGCTGAACATCGCATCGGCCCTCTAGGGCCCTTGTGGTGGTCTATTGGTTCTTTGGTGATGCCATACGTTCAGGTCTGGTCCTTTTTTTTTTTTATGTGATAGTTCGGCACACACATGGATACCCGTAACATCAGAGAATTTAGTGAGTTCGTTGCCGATATTTTGGGGATTAGGGATTTGGTGATTTTGGGATTAGTGAGGGATTGGGGGAGGGGAAGGATTGGGCCTCCGGTAACCTAACTCACAAGGCGAAACACAACGAAGCACGCTGTTCGGGCAGCGAGCTGCTCTGGCTCGCCAGCTGTAGCCCCTTACTTACGGGGGTCGGTGATCTTTGAATGTCGTTCGATTCCCGGCCGCCGGCCGGAGTGCAACACGTAGCTGGGACAAGATTACGCGTTGTAAGGTATTGCAAGTAGCACGTGGTGCAGGCGGCGTGCCGGACGACGTGCGCACCGAGCTGTGGCTGCGCGCGCTGAGCTGCGCGGGCGCGGCCGGCGCCGCCGAGCTGGACGCGGTGGCGGGCGCCGCGCTGCCGGCCTGCCGCGCCCAGCCGCGCGCCTACCCGCTGCTGCTGTACGCGTACGGCGCCGCGCTGCGCGCCGCCGGCCACTGGGAGCGCCTCGTGCTGCTACTGGAGCTCGTGCTGTCCATGAACTTCCCGCCCGCCGCCTTCCCCCCGCCCCCCGACCCGCGCCAGCTGGAGGAACAAGAGCAGCGCCTGCAGCAGCTAGAGGACAAGGTAACTCCTTGTGAGTGAGAGTGAGACCTCGTATGCAGTGCTGGGCAGCATGCTGTGAGTGAGAGTGTGACCTCGTGCGCAGTGCTGGGCAGCATGCTGTGAGTGAGAGTGTGACCTCGTGCGCAGTGCTGGGCAGCATGCTGTGAGTGAGAGTGTGACCTCGTGCGCAGTGCTGGGCAGCATGCTGTGAGTGAGAGTGTGACCTCGTGCGCAGTGCTGGGCAGCATGCTGTGAGTGAGAGTGTGACCTCGTGCGCAGTGCTGGGCAGCATGCTGTGAGTGAGAGTGTGACCTCGTGCGCAGTGCTGGGCAGCATGCTGTGAGTGAGAGTGTGACCTCGTGCGCAGTGCTGGGCAGCATGCTGTGAGTGAGAGTGTGACCTCGTGCGCAGTGCTGGGCAGCATGCTGTGAGTGAGAGTGTGACCTCGTGCGCAGGTGCTGGTCAGCATGCTGTGAGTGAGAGTGTGACCTCGTGCGCAGTGCTGGGCAGCATGCTGTGAGTGAGAGTGTGACCTCGTGCGCAGTGCTGGGCAGCATGCTGTGAGTGAGAGTGTGACCTCGTGCGCAGTGCTGGGCAGCATGCTGTGAGTGAGAGTGTGACCTCGTGCGCAGTGCTGGGCAGCATGCTGTGAGTGAGAGTGTGACCTCGTGCGCAGTGCTGGGCAGCATGCTGTGAGTGAGAGTGTGACCTCGTGCGCAGTGCTGGGCAGCATGCTGTGAGTGAGAGTGTGACCTCGTGCGCAGTGCTGGGCAGCATGCTGTGAGTGAGAGTGTGACCTCGTGCGCAGTGCTGGGCAGCATGCTGTGAGTGAGAGTGTGACCTCGTGCGCAGGTGCTGGACAGTGGGCTGCCCCTGAGCACAGTATGGGTGCGAGTGGAACGTGCTCGCGCCGCCGTGCACTGGCGCGCGCCGGAGGCGGGCGCGGCGCTGCCCGAGGACCCGCAGCGCTTGCCCCTGGCGGCGGACGTAGCGCACCTGCTGCAGCCGGCGGGCGCGGCGGCCCCGCTGCTGTTGGTGCAGGCGCTGCGCTTGGCCAAGGTGCCGCTGATGCCGCTGGGCCAGTACGTGCTGAGTGCGGCCGACGCTAGCGGCGACGCATTGGGCGACGCGTCCGAGGCGGAGGGCGCCGAGGCGCTGCTGGCGCTGGTGCGCGCGGCGCGGCGCCTGCCTGCGACGAGCGCGGCGCGCGGCGCGGGCGCGGCGGCGCTGGTGGCGGCGCTGGTGGAGCCGCCGGAGTACCTGTCGGGCGCGGGCGGGTTCCTGCGCTGGCTGCGCGCGCTGTGGGGCGCGGCGTGCGAGTGGGCGGCGCCGGAGTGGCGCGACGCGCTGCTGTGCTGGCGCCTGCGCTGGCTGCACGCGCTGCTGCTGCTGCTGGACCTGCAGGTACTGCTCCATGCCACGCCCCGCCTCCGAGATGTTGAAAACGGTGATTTGTAACGTTCGTGTTGGTAATATCCTTCGATTCAATAATTTCTAAACGTGAACCAGGATTCCGTACTTGTAATAAGCTCATAATTGTCGAAGCAATACGCTCGCCCGCAGGTTCGCTCACTGTACTACTAACGTCAAAGTAACCTTTTTCAAGGCATTCCGTCAATCGTTTTACACGAGCGGCTTGTGGGTGTCATACACGCGGCGAGCCTACAGTGCCCTGCGTGTTCAATTTACTAACGCCTTCAGAATGCTGTTAGGACTGCCATGGCGCTGTAGCGCGTCGGGAAATTTCGCAGAGGCTCGCACAAATGGTTTCAACGCCATCATGCGAAAGAAAGCAGCCTCCTTACTAAAGCGCCTGCATGGTAGTGACAACAGTATTTTGAAAATGATTGCTGCCAGACCGACCCTTGCACAGGACAGACTGTCCCTTTCGGAGACACTGGGTGGGGACAGTACTAAACCCATAGGAATTAATTAACATACAAAAACGAATGATACTAACCTATTAACTTAAGCAATATTGTTACTAACATTTGAAAGAATACTAACAAAACTATGGACTGTACATAGTCTGAAATAAACTTATATTGGACACAGCAAGATTGGAGCCGTATACGTAAGTACGTACGTGTACGACGTAAGGGAGAGTGTTTCGCACAATGGTGGTGGTTGAAGAGAGGGTTGCTTATGGCGGTGGCTCATGGACTGTCTGGGGCGGTATATCCGCGAGCGGCAAAACTCAACTTGAGGTTGTTACGGGCCACGGCTGCCAACATTAAATGCTCAACGGTACATGCGTGAGTGCTTGAAACCTCACGTCATACGATACGCGGACTATATCAGCCCAAATTTCCTTTATATAGAGAGTCCATGCGGCTGGCATTGTCAGGAAATATCTTCGGGATGTGAACATCACAGTTATGGACGGGCCAGCCAGAAGCCCAGACATGATTTGATGAAAATTGCATAGAGCGGTTGATAAACTCTATTAGGGTTGCCACCCGTACTTTATAATAAAGTATTGTACTCTATTTCATATAATTGTACTCTATACTTTATGAGAACAATAAAGTACACGAAAATACTTTATTTTGTATGATTTGATTTTTTTGGGATTTTGAAAAGTCTGTGATGAACAGCGAGATGACGAGATGAAAGAAACAAAGCGTCTCTGAATTTAATAAAGACTGTAAAGATGTTTTAGTAGGAATACTTATTTAATGCAAACTGCAAAAAGCAATAAAAATAGAAAGAAAGAAAGAAAGAAAGAAAGAAAATATTTATTTGTGAGAATGTAGTACAAATATAGGTGTTTGTGTTATGTGTATGGAATCTCACACATTCTACCGAATTGGTGTACAAATTATTTAGCTTAATATCTAGTTATAACTATGCACTACTTATTCTAAGTCTATGATAGGTCATCTAAATAATCTTTAGTGCAATAATAACATTTATTTAGCAAAAACTCAAACAATTTTCTTTTAAAAGACATTAGGTTAAGATTTTTTAGGTCATTTGGAAGTTTATTGTAAATTTTGATAGCCATGCAATATGAGTTTCTGCTATATAATGTTGTGCGTTGGCTCGGTACAAATAATTTATTAGGGTATCTACTATTTCTACTAGTAACACATTTTTTCTTAATAAAGAGATCCGGGTTTTTGTATACAAAAATAGAAATTTCGTAAATATACAAACAGGGCAAAGGCAGGATACAATATTTTTTAAATAAAGGTAAGCAGCTGTCTAAGTAGTCTGCACCACATAATGCACGTAGACATCTTTTTTGTGCTCTAAATGCTCGGATTAGATCCACACAGTTCCCCCATATTACCACTCCGTAGCGTAAAACTGAGGATACATAGCCGTGGTACGCACATAGTGTAGCATTGGGAGTCGCTACTTGTCTAAGTCTGTTCAAAACATAAACATAACTATCCAGTCTAGAACAAATCTTATCTATATGTAGTTTCCAACTGCAGTGTTTGTCAATAGTTAGACCAAGGAATTTAGTTGAATCTACTTTTTCTATGGCTTTGCCTTTTTGAGTGATATTAAGAGAAATTTGGGTGCTGTTATGTGTTTGGAATTGAATTATATTTGTTTTATTTACATTTAAGTTTAAGTTGTTATTATTTAGCCATGTAGTTACGTTTTCTATAGTGTTATTAATTTCTGTTTCGTACGTATTTTTGTTGTGAGAGTGTATCAGTAATGTGGTGTCATCCGCATATAAGATGCATTTGTAATTAGTTGAATCTGGTAAGTCGTTAATATAGACTAAGAACAATAGCGGCCCGAGAATACTACCTTGAGGTACGCCGTGTAAATTTAAGATGTAATCAGAACGGTAAGATGATTTGTGGTAACCGGATACACTTGGAATTTCGACACACTGGTAGCGATCAGAGAGGTAACTCTCTATCCAGTTGAGGGCATTGCCTCTTATGCCGTATCTATCCAGCTTATTTAAGAGTATTCTGTGTGATACAAAGTCAAATGCTTTGGACATATCTAGAAAAATTGCAGCAATTGGATTTTTTTTATCTAGATACTCCGTTATTATTTTTATAAGATTAAAGCAGGCTAAAGTAGTAGAATAGTTTTTTCTGAAACCAAATTGTTCTGGTTTCAGTATATTATGTTTCAAAAAGAAGCTATATAAAATACTGTGAAACGATTTTTCTAATATTTTTGATATAATTGGAATTAAAGTTATTGGGCGGTAGTTGCCCATTTCGGTTCTTACGCCCTTTTTGAAAATAGGTTTTACTATAGAATATTTTAATCGTGATGGAAATGTACCATTAAAGTAGGATAAATTTATTATGTGGCTTATTGGACCTGATAAGCTTTTTGCACACTTTTTTATTATTTTAGTGTCAATGTTATCGTATCCCGTAGAGTTGGTGTTTTTGAGTGAATTTATAATTTTACGTACCTCTAGATCGTCAACTGGCTTTAAGAAAATAGTGTTTGGATTATTCGGTATATTTTTGAGAAATTTGTTATTAATGGCAGTAGTATTGGGACTTTTTGTTAAATTAATGAAGTAGTTGTTAAAACCGTTAGCTATATCTTCAGGTTTATACCAATCTATATTGTTATTTTTTATGTGTTTTATATCTGTAGTATTAGTATCACTATTAGAATTGGTTTTTATTATTTTCCAAGCCGCTCTACAAGTATTGTTAGATTTAAGTATGTATTTAGTATTTAGTATTTTATGAGCTTTAAGAGTGCATTTTTTTAAAGTTGTTTTATAGACATTGTACTGCTTGAGATGAGAATGTTTGTTTTCTGATGAATTAAGGTATTTTAAATAGAGCGTTCTTTTAGTTTGACACGATTTTCTTAGACCCTTAGTCATCCATTTACTTTTTATGGGTTTATTGACTATTTTGACATTTACAATAGGGAAACATAGGTTGTAGAACAGTGTTATATTATCATGTAGAAGATTGAATGCTTCATCCACATCCATACACTCATGAACATCGTTGAATGATAGGGCTTCCATGCAAGATATAAATTTTTTTGTGTTATCTTTGCTAAAGTCTCTGCGCTTTTCAAACCAAAACCGCTTAACCGCGTTCCCTTCGTTGCTACGATTAGTGATTTGAAATGAGATTGTTTGACCTGTTTCGTGGTCAGATAGCGCTAGAAAATGTGTATCAGGTGTAACGTTAGAAATATTACTACTTATTAAGTCCAAGCATGCCCCTTTTCTTGTCGGTGTAGTTATATGGTTTGCAATATTGTAGTTTTTGAGTGTAGAATGTAGTTCTTTGGTAAAGTGGTTATTTGGTTTTAATAAATCAATATTCCAATCTCCACACAATATGATATGCCTTGACTTTTTTGTTAACTTTTTTAAGAGGGCATTTAGACTTTGTAAAAAAACAGTTGCGTTAGGGTTTGGTATTCTATAAATGCAAACAATGTAGAGTTTAAGTTGAACTACTTCTGTACAGCAGAACTCAAAGTGAAATGGTATGGGATCTACAAGATTAAATAATATCTGCTTAAAATCAAGGTGTTTTCTCACAAGAATGCAGGAACCGCCTCTGCGTAAATCTGTTCTGGAGAATGATGCTGCTAGTCTGTAGTTACAAATATTAAGATTACTTTCGGTGCCCTTTTTCATGAACGTTTCAGTTAGACAAATGATATCAATTTGACCATATTTATTTTCTAAATCTTGAATAGTTAATTCAAATACATCTTTCTTATTTAAGATACCTGCAATATTTTGGTGGAAAAGCTTACATATTATTTTGTTCTCGAAAAAATGTTTTTTGCATGTCTTCTGATATTTCATTAACGTTTTTTTGTTTTGTGCGAACGACATTATGTTTAACAAGAAGATTTAAATTTTTGAATATGTTTCTCATACCGTTATTATTTAACGTTCCTCTTTTAACTGAGAACATACTGTGACTGCATAACAGCTTTAGATTCGAATCCATAATTATAGCGTATTTGAAGGTTTCATTATCCTCAAATAGCATATTATTAAACGCCTCAACTCTTGAGTTAAAAAGTACGGAATAGCCATGATATCGATACGTTGGTGTACATATAATAATATTCGTATGTTTAAATGTTTGTAATGTAGATCTGATGTGAGCAATCAGATTGTGGTAGTTCATAGTCCTAACAAAATCTTCCTCTCCTATCATAATAACACAATAGTCTTTTTATATAATATGTTTTGAAATATAAAAATAAAGAAAAATAAATTGTACTTTATCTTGATCTCATGTACTTTTATTTTCTTACCTATAATAACCAATGTACTTTATTAACTGCAAAAAAAGGTGGCAACCCTAAACTCTATGCGCAATAGTATGAGAGTTGTGGTAGATGCCTATGGAGGCAACACGCGTTATTAAATTAAAACAATTAAAATTTTAAACAATACATACATATAAAACATGCCATATACTGTGACATGTCTCAAGCGTTTGCGTTCGAACTTGTAGAATAAGTTGTAA